TGTTTCCATTGCAAGGGGAATTGTATCAACAGACGAGTTTTCTAGTATTTTCACATATGAGCTATGTACTCATCCACCAGTATTGTTTGCCTCTGATGGACTGATTAACAAGCCAGCTTTAGCCGAAGCAGTCTGGAAGTGTGTTGGTCCCATTACTAGTGACATGTCCATTGAGGTTAATATGTAATTGATGGAGGTTCACTTTTACAGAGAATTCCATGGCCACGAGGACTAACATATAAGGGCATCTGCAAACTTTACCTTGATTACATTGACCGCAAATATGGTAAAGCATCAACAGTTGTTTTTGTTTGCTATCCAGATAGGCCATCAACAAAAGACACAACTCACCTTAGGTGTTAAATAAGGAAAATGTCTACTGGTGTTTAGTTTGATTCTGACATGGTTATGAATAATGAAGAAACAACAGTTCCTTGCAAATGCAGCAAATAAGCAGCGGTTCATTAATATCCTGGGAACTGAACTGGAAGAGAAAGGAATCAAGGTTCAAAATGCTGAAGAAGATGCAGATGTCCTTATTGTGATGACAGCTGTAGACTCTGCTGTCAATGCACCAATGGAAGTTGTAGGTGAGGACACGGACTTGTTAGTGTTGTTGATCTACCACGTCAACTTAAATAGTCACAAACTGTATTTAAAACCAGGGGCACTGCGTCAAAGTCAAAGTGTGGGACATAAAATATACCAAAGACAAACTATGACCACTTGTTTGCAAAAACATATTATTTATACATGCTGTCTTGGACTGTGACACCACATCCAAGATGGCTTAGGAAAGAGGTCTGTTATTGAAAAAATTTCAAACCAACAAGCAGTTTCAATGTCATGCTTCGGTGTTTGACCAAGATGGTGCTTCAAAAGACGACATTGTGGAATCAGAAGAAAAAGCTTTTGTCCGATGAAACATTGGATTCACTCAGAATGGGAAAATTCTTTCAGAAAGTTGCTACAATCATTACATGTGTAGGGCCTTGGAATATTCCACCAACACCTGCAGCTGTAGGTTACCATAGTCAACGGGTATACCACCATGTTCTGATGTGGAAAGAGCAAACTTATGTTATTCCAGAAGAATGGGGCTGGAAAGTGAAGAAGGGAAAATTGCTTGCTATCCAAACTGACAAGCCTCCTGCACCTGACAAATTACTAAAGTTATCAGATGTAAATGTAAATGTAAAGCAGACTGTCGAACGACACGTTACACATGTAGAAAACATGGACTAAAATGCTCCCCCATGTGTGATGAATGTAGAGGTGTAAGCTGTAGTAATTCACCCAATCTGGATCCTGATGATGATCAACTATATTATTATAAACTTAGAATTATACTGACTTGATTTGATGATTGGCCAACCAACCAACCTATTTTCATACCAATCCCAAACAGAATGAAGGTATGACAAAACACAAGTCTGATCATGTTAGTTTGTAACTGTCTCATTCTACCACAAACTTAGATATAATCGATACCTCACAAGTCTTGCAAAACACTCTTTTGATATTACCACATCAAACCTTGACTTGAGCTACCTTCATTATGTGATCATTGCCGCATTCCACATACCTGTAACTGTGAAATGTACTTCATATATATTACCATTGTATCACCAATCTTTACATGATACAATCACATACACTTTGATAAACATGATTTATTTGTGTGTTTTTATGCAGGGTGCGAGTTATGCAGACCGACTGCAGCAAAGTATCAAGTTGATTTGGCGAATGATGGATCTAAATATGCCCCAAATATTCCTGAAATTGTGTTTTGTAATAATGAAAATGATATATGACAATAATTGCAGAGATTTCTATATTGTGTAGAATTTATATTGATAAAATGCCAATGGAACAAGACTAATACCAGAGCCTGTATATTTCTGAAAATATCACCACTTGGTGGCGCTGTACATGCCTATAGAGGGCGATTCGCCATGCGCAAAAACATGTTTAGCTGACTAAGTGTGGTAAGTGTGATAAATATGTGGATATTGACGATTATCATCCCATATGCATTTGCATATATACGTCTTACTGCATCAATAAAATGGCTTAATATTTCCATTATCAGTACCTGAAAAAAATAACTTTCACTCTGTCCGGTTTTGGTAGTCTTTTGATATGTTGTTGTATATGACGTCATCATGCATGTTGAAGTGATCTGTTACAGATGCAGATTTATATATTACATTTATTGTTTTAAAAATATTGTTGCTATACAGTAATACATTTCAATGGTAATTAGAGGTTATTAGAGATTATTGCATCTGCGGTAGGTAAAATCAGTGCTAAATACAATAAATCTTCAACATGCTCTAAAAAAAGTGCCCAATGGTTTAGATCTTGGGTTTTTTGGTCATTCTCAATGACCTTAGCCAACGTTTGAAACAAAATTCGCTAATGTACTATTTTACTCCGGGTCAAACCCTAAATCCACTGGACCAATTCGCATATACAATAATAATGAAGATCATCTCATGCTAGGAGATGAAATTCGAATAAAATAATTCCCCGATTTCTGGATCCTTATAAATTGTAATTTGACGGTGTTGAGAAATAAAACCACTATATGTCATCAGATTTACAGGTAGGGTATGCTATGTCAAAAGGTCATGCAAATGAAACAACAATGGGAAATTAGAGACCTTAAGGATGTTGTGATTTACGCCGCCGTTTTGAAAATATTTTTTCTGAATATTATCAAGCCTTGGACTATACGAACTCCCACCCCAAGGTCTAATCCAAATGTCTTATCAACTATTGCCTAATCATAATGTTTTTCACTTGTATACTTCTATACATTACGGCATTTGAAGGCGAACAAGATTTGTTGGTTGACCAAACACCAAATCCCATGTTAAGCACATGTAATGACATCTACAAATAATGAGTATCGCACATAGGTGAAAGTCAACAATTCAGCAAAAGCTGAAAAACGGCATTTTTGGTCAAAATGTTAGCATGACAATCTATTTTGTGTAGCGCATGGTCTGTTGACATCATGGCTAAACTAAATGTGCATTGAACTCCTGAGTTTTGCATAACGCGTTCAAGGTTGCTGTGGGGTTGTTTTTGAATGACCGAGGCATATCATCTTGAATAATTTTTGTTTAAAGAAAGTTCCAGAATTTGTAAATTCCACCAGGAACGTGCACAACTTGCAATAATGCAACACAAACAAAAAACAAAGCTTATTGAACTTGTAGAACATGCTGATAAACTAAATATTGTTTCATCGGAGTCTGGCGACCGTGGAATATCGAGTTAAGCCCGCCCTACTTTGCAAACCAGTTATGCTTATAGTTGAAATTTACTTTTGCATTCTTTTCAAAAAAACATCAGGGTTTTAAATAACACTAATAATAATTATGTGCATGTCATATATGTATTTCCTACAAACTATATGTACAGACTGTTTTCTGTGAAGTTTTACTTTTGCGGATATCATCACTGCAAATATAAACATGGCAATTAAATGACTTTGTTATCATCATCGATCGAACGTCTGCTGGGAATAAGTATGGAAGACTAAACGAACAGTTTCTCACATGATGAACAGTTGTTTCGTCCAAAAGTCGAAGATATTTCGCCATTGCAATACTAGCTAACCATTTCATATGCCTGTTGGTCCGAATGAGAATATTCCGCTTACCACACGATGCTAATCGGGTGCATAGAGAATTAATTAATTCAACCCATCTTCAAGCGCCAAACACCGCTGTCATCCGGGTACTTTGTTACGCTTTCTAGTGGCGTCCTTGCGAAACGCGGCAACTCAAAATTCAAAATTAGATGTGTACCATTCTAGCATCCGGAAACTACAGACCACGTGATGTAACCACACATGTATATTCCGCTTTCATATTAACAGGCTGCACATTCCAACATCTGCAGAGATATTGCGATGACCGAGAAATTAGTTTTCACATTTGTTGTAAACATTGCTTAGAGGCGCGTACAATGACACAAAAAGATTACGATCCAAACAAATGAGTTATGACCCAACTATTAACCCAACAGAATAGTCAACCAATCACCAACTGACTGATTTTCGTTGCATCGTATACCAATAAAAGTAGTACCACTCCATGTTAACCACACATAATCGTCAATATTTAGGCGCCTCTGTGTTAACCCGTTCACCAACACGTGCTTCAAAAAACGAATGACATAACTCAATGTTCATTACATTTATAAGTATATATATATAAGTAATATATTAGTAGTAAATTTCACGTGATGAAGACGCATTTAAATTTGAGTAATCAGTATGTACAAATAGCTTTTATTTTGCGCATCCGATATGAAGAGAGTTTTGGCTTTACACTGTTTCGGCGATGAGGTAAGAGGAGATGTAACATTCTTTATTCGATTTACTATTACTAACATTGGAAAAATAGTAAACAGTCTGATATAACTACTTTATTATGCGTATCTGTACAATTTACACTTGATGAATGAATATGCAAACTATTCTCCCAATTTGTGTTTTGTAGTTTGTCAGGATAGTTTAAAGTACAATAAATCCCTAACATTTAAAATTTCTTGCATTATTGAATGAGGATAAAACACAATAAAACATCGGGAATATAATTTTTGAGAATCATACTACCTACATATTGAGAAAATTTCAAATTTAAAAGGCACGAACTCCGATAGCTACGAGTATTCAATTTTAAAACCTCCTCAATAACTGAATAATTAAAATATATTTTTTAAATTATGTTGTAATAATTTTAAATCATTTCCGTCTACCTAAAGTAGAGTTCTAAATGTGTAACCTTTATTCTAATTATCTATTCATGAATTTACAGAAATGTTAACCGACATGCATGTGTCCAGTTGCATTTTTACATCAATATAAGACAATATAATATATCGTGACAAGTGTTATTTTAAATTTCATGTGCTTGTACTGTGTAAATGTGGGACACAACGCTTGCCTTTCAGACACAATCTTTGCATTGTTAACAATTCTCATTTGTATTGTATCTTTATTTATTTATATTTATACTATTTATTACGTATCTATATTAGTATTCAACAATACCAGAATTAATGATTTATTATTGGAAATTAAAACGTTAAATTTCGTCACATGATTGTTCATCAGAATTGTCCCCACAATCGTCATAACCATTACATTTCCATGACAACGGTTTACATATTCCATCATCACAACGGAACTGGTCTTCTCTGCAAACTGATCAAAAAAAGTAAAAAATATTGAAATCTGCATTCGAATAATAACCCCAGAAGTAATCTCAAGAGCGCTCGATACAGTATCGCAGTTATAATGATCAGTGTTATAAAATGCGAATGTTTCGTCGTCATTAGTAGCGAGAATACTGGACGACAAGAACTTCTAAAAAGAAAATTATACCAAATATTAATTAACATAATTTTACTCCTGGATTATTACGTATTAAAGTCAGGCTTGTCGTAGACGAATCTTTGTAATACCTCTTATTTGCTGTTAATAATTGCTTATATTATTCATACTTACCACAGTTTTTTTCGTCTGAACCGTCTCCACAGTCGTCGTTGCCGTCACAGATATTGTATCTTGAAACACAATATCCTGTATCTGAACACTTCATAGTAAACGCACGACATTCTGCAAGATGACCAAATTGGCAAACATATTGCAATCAGCAAATAGGAAGTTATTCTAGGTAGGTATTATAATGAAATCGGCGTGTAAGAACAATTCACTCACCACAGCCCTTCTCGTCGCTTTTATCGGAGCAATCGAAGTTCATGTCACAAATAGGAGAGGGAGAGTCTGGTCGTCGCTTTATTTCATCTCCATTGTCACAGACGTGAATTACTGCATAATATAAAAAATATTCAGATTACACTGAATTAGCCATTAGTAGTAAAAGTGTACTAGAAGGCACAACAAGTACTTACGAAGCAATGGGACTCATCTAGTATATGCAGTGTGTGCTAGTAAGTCATATAAAACCTCTAGTAAATATGCATGCTTTTATTTTTGAGATAGCAAACTTATTCTCAGGATTTTCAGAGGCCATTGATAGTTTAAAAATCACATGACAGTTCATTTCCAATATCATCATACCACAGGGAAAATTTTCAATTCACAAATTGCAGGACCTAACAATATTAACACGTATATATAACAGTGATACATTTGAAAAATAACTTACCACAATCCTGCTCGTCAGAATTATCGCCACAGGAGTCATATCCGTTACACTGATCATAATACCACTTACAAAGACCATTATCACATCGAAATCTATCATCACTCTCATCACATGCTAATTAAAACGAATAAGACATGATAGGCCATAAAAAGTGTTTGCAATTTATTGTGCATGTATTCTTTACACTAAAAATGTTAAATGAAACTAACTGACAGTATGTGTATATAACATTTCTCTGGGATTTCTACGGTTGCAAATCTCACAAAACGCCATTTATTCAAGACCAAAAATAAAAACAAAAACAAACAAAACGACATATGCTCATATTGGTAATCTCAAAGACACACAATTTTAGTTTCTTAGCAATGAGCTAGACAGTGCTGTGATATACCTCATAAACATAGAATGACCAGAAACTTACGACAATCTTTTTCATCACTTTGGTCAACACAATCGGCATATCCATTACAAGAATAATTTCCTTGAGCTAGAAATTGTCCATCATCACATACATAGTACACTGTAGAGACAAATAATATTTACGGCTAGCTATGCACTTTCAATTCTTCAGTTATTCATTGTGTTATATATTACGCTAGTATAGATACTAATTCTTAATATGAAGTATTATGTTAATATTCACTAATATTGTGTCAATATTTCCAACATGAAGTTATTATACATGATATACTAGTATTGAGTCGTTATGCCATATCGCCTCATACATTATCACTGAATATTGTTGCTATATCAAGATTGCTAACATCAGAACTAAACAAATTATGTCCTCTTTGTGTCGCTATTTATATATATATGTACTTTCAGATATATATATCCGTTTAATTATGTTAAAAGATACCTCTTATTATTAAATAGCTCCATCACTCAACAATAATTAGAATGAGCGAGTTTGATCAATCAGGTGCATTTATTGGCTAAGCTTGTATGCGATTCTGAAAAAGATTTATTTTTTATTGCTGGCAATATTCTAATATGAATTGGGAGCAAACTGTGACACCAAATCTAGTCGTTGTATTGTTATGCTTCTAAAATAAATTGTTCAAATGTCTTGAAACAGATTCAAATATAAGGTTATGGATTGTAAAATATGAAGATTAAATAGTGTCCAACAAATTAATTTGTAAATGGTAAATTTATTTTAAAGATTTCAGTGAAAATATTATAAAATAAAATAAATTCAATCGAAATACTATGTGAATCTGTGGATGTGGAAAATATTAAGATGTGAGGTCTGCAGTTCTTTGTTTTTTAATTAGTTTATTCCTGAAAAAAACTTGTATTTTAAAGACTGCAAACAATAAAACACTCACAGTGCAAGGCTAGTTCACCAACATGTCTATTCTCTTGCTCGAGTGTGAAAGTACATGGTTTAGTCACTAACTCTTATTTTTTTGAATATTAGAATTTGGAAAAGTTTTTCTGTAAAAAAATAAACAGATATATATATATATATATATATATATATATATATATATACATATATATATCTATATATATGCATCTGATAGCGTAACTCACCACAATTATTCTCATCACTGTTATCACCACAGTCATCGTAGGTATTACATATGCCATACTCAGGCCTACATAAACCATTATCACACTTGAACGCGCCTTCGTCGCATTCTATTAAACATCAAAAGCAGCGTTAATTAAAAAAAAA